CCAACATTGCATAATTAGGTCTAGCTCTGATACCATGTTAGGAATATTGAGTCTAATTCCACCTAATAAAATCGGCTTATTAGGGGAAGATTATCCTCACCTTATTAAGTGGATCATTTATATTTTTCCAAATAATGTGGGATTCTAATATATAGACTATAGAGGCTCATTATTATTTGCACATTTTTTGGGATCCGTTACAATTCCTCTTACTATTTCGATTCAGTAATGCATAAAAGAATTCTACTTGGCAAAGCACGTGTCATAATTGCTTAGGCTATAGCATGTTTAAAAAAATGATATGTAACATTGATGGTGCTAAAATAGTTCTACTTTATGTAGTAACACGAGACATCAAATAATAAGTACAATTCAATATGTTGTTATGCAGACTAATTAATGAGATTTATCACACATGATCATATGGTCTAGCACCACGTGTGCTATATAGTATTACTTCATGTAAAAAGCATAAATGATACCTAGAATTTCAACCACATTTCTTATGAGCTACGAGTACTCAAAATTTCGGTTATTCTAGATCCATACTAGAACTTTGAAATATGTTTATCATCAATACCTATGGTTTCATCGACGTGCCAATTGACAACATCAAAATAATAAATCGCTTTATCCCAAACTCTACAAATCACGCTCTTAGTTCCCCAACTCCGTTTCCTATAAACTCTAACCTGCTGGTTATAATTTTTCCCTATATATCATCACACACCCTCTTACACCATCATCGAGCAACAATTAACACCATAATATCACATCTCAACATAAATCATATTCATTTGATCATTAACGGGTTGTCGTACATTATGGATATACATTTGGAGAACAGAGAGCGTGATTTGTAGAATCGAAAATAATAAGGCTTATTTTGTTGTTGTTAAAGGGGTTAACGCCATCAATTACCACGTTGGACCGAACCATTTAGAGCTTGTCAACAGCTTGTTAAATTATGGATGGAAAACATATTTTTAAGTTCCGTTATGGATCAGGAAAATTGAAAGTTTGTTTCTTGCGTACTTGCAAGAAACACCTAGTTATTGGATGAAAGAAACATATTTGGAAGTTCGAGTATGAATTAAGGAAATTTGGAAGTATGGATACCTAAAAGAGAGACGATAAAAGTTTAGATAACATTTATGCTCTTAAACTGCCATAGCAAGAAACTGTTTACGGAGTTATGCTACATGTATAAAGTTGGGTTACAAAATTGGTTGACAAAATAACATCTACATCAATCATTTTAAAAATAGATTTTTAAATCATTTAAAATCAACGGTCTGGATTTTGCCAACACACTTTGTAACCCAACTTTTGTAACTCAACTTTATACAAATAGCTTTATTCGTGTGGGATTAAGTACACTGTTCCAAATTCAAGCAGTACAATATGCATTTGACGCTGAACTTTCGGTGGCATCATGACAGAATTCACATAGGATTGTCAAGTAAATGTAAAGACTGTTGGAAGATAAAGTAGGAACGATTGATAGGCATCAAATCCAGATGAAGCCATTCAACAGCAAAATGGCATGTATCTGATCTTACTCCCAGGTGAAAGTGAACAATTTATATGGAGAATTTCACACCTTCATCATCAGCAGAAGTTCCCTTGAAGATAGCAAGCTTCCCCTTGTGTTCTAGCAGCTTAAGGGCTCGCATTAAAATAGTTCGATCCATTCCATGAAGCTCTGAATTGCATCAAGAAAACCACAGAGAATTGTCATGTTTGACTGTGCATGGTTTGAAAACAGAATTAGTATAAAGCGAAAAATGCGACATTACGCAAATCCACGAAACTTTTAAGCTGATGTATTTATCGTGTTAATCCCACCTCTACAAGTAAAAAAATGAACTGCCTCGTGTTTATCCATACGAGGGTCTGCTATTTATCCCACAAAAAAAGATTCCAAGAAAACAAGCAAAAGGGTGTTGGCGGTTCTAGCTGATGCATAAGATAATGACAATTTAGATGTCTAAACCATGTGAGTCGGAATCTCCTAGCACGAGTGGTGAAATCAAGAGACCAAACCCATTAGCTAGATTGTTGCATCCTAATTTAGCAGACATTTATTGCAGAAGATCTATTAAAAGGATGTAAAAATTAATGAGGCCGCGGACAACTAAAAAATTGCACATGCAAGAATGGGAATAACTAATATTTATTGTTCTATTCGTGCAAGCTTATCAAACGAATCTACTTCTTGAGAATCAGATCTCAGATTTCAGAATTTACTCTATATTAACCAGATCAATAATTAATGTGTTGTACTGAAGGTAAATCTGATTATAGAAGTAACAGAAACTAATAAACCTCACCAAGGCTTCCATAGTACTCCTCGCAGATTAAATAGGTCCTTCCACCCTCCCAAGAAAAAGGGAAATGAAAAAGAAAGAATGGAATAGAAAGTGGAGAGACTCCATCTTTAGTATTTTTTTGAGATAAAGAGAGAAGAATGATGCTACGAGAAGTTCCAAGATGTAAAACTCGAGCAAGCAAATAATCAGATGCCAGCAGGATTTGCCAAAAATAAAAGTATTATACATGTATCTATACAAATTCCAACACCACCAAACTATACCTGTTTCTCGAGACACAACCCCTGAACGTATTTCCTCAACTGTCATTACGCTATCCTCCAACCCATTTTCCTTCACCTAATAAGATACAAGAAAAAACACAACTAGAGTAAAAACCCGTCACTAATTTGCAGCTGTCGGAAGATTGGAGCAATACTCACAAAATGTAATATCAAGTCAGCCCAATCTTGAATCCGATGCCAAAGGATTAGACATTTTCTGTGACCTTTATCCAACCACTCTGCACGTCCTGTCAAATAAGACATATAATATTATGATCAGCCTGTGTTGCGAACACACGACATCATCCTCATTTCCAACAGATAAGCAAATCTGCTTGGCAGAAGCAAACCTTCCAAAACTAAGGCTGAGAGAAATGCCTCCCTAGCTTCATGACTTAGAGATCCTGTATTATCACAACCAGAAGAATCATTCAAAAGGACACATGAATCAGACATACATTATACTACAATACAATAAAATCATGAACTTCAATTTTACACAGCGGTTTGTGTATTTAGTCAAATATACTATACTAAAACACCATAAATTAACAAAATACCTTTTCCTTTCAGTAATGTAATATAGTTAACTGAGTACATTATACTTGTCTCTGTTTAATTGACAATGCTAAAAAGCATGTTAACATCATAGAATAACTAAAGTGGAAATCAAGAATAGAAATGGAAGTAATATGAATCTCTCTACTTAAATAAAAATATATAACAGCTCTACATCAACCAATACCAGACAAGTGAAATTATGGTTAACTAAGCCAAATATCTTGAAAATTCAATCATCCATTTACTTAATGAAAACTTCATTGCTACCCCATCGAGCTTAAAGAAAATCTAGGGAAGTCCCCAAGATTGGCTCAAAAACTGTATATCTTACCATTCCATTAAAACTGCATCTGCAACAGGGGTTTTCACCTATTTGAGTCCCAATATAAATTCTGACATTTATCCGTCCTCTTAATTGCTACAGTATCTCCAGCAGACTAAGTAAGGAACTACTATCAACATGAATCATAGAACATGCTGTGATAAAGATTGCAGTACACTAGTATCCTAAAATAGCAAAGGAAAAACCAGAAATGGTAAATGGGCAACCCAACACACCCATTTATCTAGCGAGTCGAAGATGTGGATAAGAAATGGATGGTGTCAACCCACCATCATGATATCCACTCAAAACAGTAATCAGTTCCCGTATTATTATATGGATAAAGCTTCTATCAAGTATCAATCTAAATCTTTAACAAGGACTGAACTCGTTAATCTGTAAGGTTAGGTATGAAGCTACTGGCAGTACCCTAAATATTTCTTTCCTACTTCAAAGAGCAGAGTTGTGTTTATTCTTAATGAAGCAAATCAGAAGCCATGAGTGTTGGTGAGATAGAATGAGCTCAAGGATTTGACATCGAGATACTTCGCTGCAATCCCCTTTCTGCATGAGGGGCAAGTTCGCCAATACTCTTAAAAAGAAAAGAAGAAAGGAAAAAGAAAATGGTAGCAACTCATCACTGTTAATCCTTACAATGGCGCCCATGATAATTACAGGGCGTGATTGTAATTAGGTGCTAGCAAGCAATCCACATTCTTATTCTTCTCGACCTCTATCAATCTCTCTATTTGGAAAGGTGGTTCATAAAGCAGGTTGTAAGTTGTGTTACAAATTCCGAAGTCATTCTTAAAGTGAATCCATTTTCGATCTGTATGTAGCAGCTCTAAAGAAGCCAACCCAACTTGCCCCATATGTTAATATTATTCGCTTGAGGCACAAAATTGTGGTTGGATTTGGCAAGTTGATGGTTTTGGATCCTAAAGGCAACCCTATCCTAAAAGAACAAGTTATATCACATTTAATGCGCAATAGGAAGTTAAAGAAAGCAAAAAAATACAATATTTAGGTGGGCATATAATTTGAGTGATCATACAATGTAGACATTGTAAATCCATAGTATAGTAGACACAAAGAAGAAAGCAAAAAAACATTAATTTTCTGTCTTGCCTTGGCCATTTTGGCTTCCGAGGACCCTCCATTGCACGATAATTTCTTTGGTTTACTCTAAAATTAATACACCATTTTATTTTCAACAAAATATTAGTTTGGTGTTTCTTCCTGTTGCATTCGTCAGTTGATTTTCAACATTTGATACAGGAAAAAGGAATTTTTGAGAAAATACATACATCAATGTCTACAGAAATCAGAAGCTACTTTTCAAATGAACCTCATATAGCAAGGGGGAAATCTTGCTGATATTATGTATGGTAAGCACATAAAAGTTCACCCACCTTGTGGTATGAGCTATTAGACATAATAAGTGAAACTCCACTACCCCATGATTGATCTGGTCTGGCTACACTAGTTCGGGGCTGAATTTCTCAAGTATACAAACCTAAATATGCTTCCAACACAGATGACAAAAGTGAAAAGACAGTGCCTTCTATTTTAAACAAAGCAAGCTTACTCTACATTTTGAAAATACAGTAGCATCAATAATAATTCAAGATAAGTAACAAATAACAATACCAAAGCTTTTCCTACACATTAATGCCCTTTTATCTTCTCTTAAAATCAATCTAATATCAAAGAAAGAGCAACTCAGAAGGCCAATACTCACTTTCTATCGTAGGATTACTAAATAGCTGGAAATCTTCATCCAAACCAATCACAAATACTTTTTGAGTTCGACAGTAATCAAGTATTAGCTCCTTCCAGAGTTGTATCTGCTTCTCTCTAGTGTCCCTTACTGGCTGCAACCTACAGGAGTTGAGAAAAAATAATATGCCAAAAAGAGGTAAGTCTATCATTGAACAGTGCTATACAAAAGCATAAACCAGTAAGTTAAATATTTTCAGCTTTAGAATATTAGATGCTCTAATAGTTGGTAAGGATACTATCTCATTATTGGCACTAAACTCCATGGGAAGGGTAAAAATTTCATAGAAATTCACTGCGAATAAGAATAAAAACCCTCATTGATATCTGCAGGAGCATGTGGGAGCCATAACAATTAACAATTGTATGGTCTATCAAATAGGTTGGAAATCGTATTTTTGGACCTTAACTTACCCTTGGAAGGCTATGATATTCTCATTTCAACATCAAAGTAACTCTAGCCCACTGCAGGAATGAAATGAAAATGGCTTTCGAAATCAATATTTTTCACCTAGGATGGAATTTAGTGCAAATGGAGAAAGGCGATAGGGTAAAATAATGTTGAGATATAGTATTAGAAAAGAACTGGTTCTCCAACGTATACTATAATCAGAAGTTGTGGGGACCTAGTACATGACGACGGTTCAGGGAGTTAACACTACGGACATGTTTGGTTCACCGGATTAGATCGGATAAAAAGTGTAGTATTTTATAATGAACATTACTAAGTAGAGGGTATCATGGTGGAAAAAGGTGGATAATAGTTTTTGACTTCATTTTAAAAAATTTCATTTACTATCTCTTTTTTATATGGCCTAGACCCACTTCCAACCTCCGTATGACTAACATTTGAATGAAAAGTTAAAGAATACTATCCAGTATCCACCTTAATCCACCAAAATATAGTATTATTCATTATAAGTTTATACTAAATTTTTTACGTGGCTAATTTGATAGATCAAACGTAGCCTATAAATCCAGTTTCTGTAAGGTCAATTCTTGGATACAGTCCTTCAACCTCATAGGCCAGTTTTATTTTATTTTATTGTAACTATAAACCGATAAAATAAGGAAGGAAATCATATCTCAGTCATGTAGCTACAATAGCCAACACTTTAGTAGATTTCTCCCGTAAGTAAAAAGCATGTTTTGTCATAAAATTTGTAAACCAACCAGAAAATTCTTGACCATCTATTAAGTTTACATCAATAAGCACAACCACTGAAGAGAGAACTCTACATCGTTTACCTGTGTCTAGATTAATCACAACAGATAAATAACCCTTATTGTCAAATATGTAGGAACCCCAAGAAGTAGAGAAAACCCAGCTACCAAATATGAAAACTGACTTCTTTATTTTCAACTTCAATGACTGACTTGCTAACAGGCATTGCTCACGCAACGGCTGTTACTGAAAAGTATAAGGTAATAAAGTTCTAAAACAAGGATGAAGAAGCACAAAGACATGGTCACATCAATGGAATTGGAGGAATCGCATTCAATAGGCCATCCAACACAGGAAAAATTGTGCGTGTGCTATCTAGAATAATCGAGCTCAACACAATTTCAGTTTCCAATAGGACGTCAATTCCATTCCTTATTATTTTATAGTTTAATCAGTGCATAGCTTTACTTTTTGAATAAGAAATTGCATATATTAGTCACCGCATTTGCACCTCAACAAATTGAGGTACTAGTACCCAATATTGAGTTATAATATCATAAAACAATAATACCCAACGAGCAAAATGCAACTCGGAATAAGATTATACAGCATAATTCAACAGAATTAAAAAAAAAAAATCAACAATTAACACTAACTATGTTAGCAAATCCTGACAAATTATGAAATGAAAACGGTAAAAGTGTGGGGGGTGGGTTTACGTGAAATAAGGAGGATAATTGAAGAAATGAGGCAGCTTGAATTCACCCAACGTCTGCATCTCTCTTTATTGACAATCCAAAAATAAATAAATAGGGAAAGTCGAGGAAATATCTCCGAATAAAATAGAGATTTTGATCGGAGATTCTGCGGATTAGTTCAAAGTCAGGAGTTAGTACGTCGGACAGGTTGGATCCGACACTACGGTCCGATTAGAGAAAATTTACACAAATAGCACCAAAGATTTATAGAACTTAAAAATTTTCACCACTTTTTGTAGGGATGTCAATGGGCCGAGCCGAGCCGACCCATACCCACACGAGCTCGGCTCGTGCTCGCACGAAGCTCGGTTCGTTGGATTTTGGGCGAGCTCGGCCAAGGCGAGCTCGAGGCCGCTCGGCTCGTGGGCTCGTCTAAATTTAATTTAATTTTTTTTTCTAATTTTCTTCTCCTAACATTATATAATCCCCTCCTACATTTTTTTTTAAAATCATAAGAACAAAATTTTATTTGTTGAGTTTTGTTTTTTGTTTACCCTTTTATATTTTATTAAACATAAAATATACACAATTTAT